GGTTGAAATGTGTCCCCCCCACCCCCAATTTGGAGATAATGTATTTATAATAAGGTCATATGGGTGGGCTCATTCACTATGGCCTATGTCTTTGTAAGAAGAGGAGATTAGAACACAGCCATGCACAGAGAGAGGACCATATAAAGACACAGGGAGAAGACAACCATCTACAAGCCAGAGAGAGGCCTCACAATAAACTGCCCTTGCTGACATCTTCACTGCAGACCTCTAGCCTCCAGGATTATGAGGAAATACCTTTCCATTGTTTAAACCACGCAGTCTTTGGTACTCTGTTATGGCGGCCTTAGCAAACCAATACATGGCTTTTATTATGTTGAGGTAATTTCCTTGTGGTCCTAATTTGTTGATTGCTTTCAATCATGAAAAGGGTGTTGAATTTTGTCCATTTTTTTTTCTGCATAAGTTCTGATGATTGTGTGGTTTTTCCCTTCTTCGTTCTATCATGTGTTCTATTACATTCATTGGTTTTTGTAGGTTGAACCATCCTTGCCTTCCAGGAATAAATCCGACTTGGTTGGATACATAATAATTATATATTCTTTCTGTACATTCTGTACTTTTATCAATGGGTGGCCCTGGTGAAAGACTGGAAGGTGGGAAGAAGGGAAACATGTTTTTTTCATCTTGGCTTCTGATAATGTCCCCAGAAGTGGCAGTAATAATGGAAAATGAATATGGCTCCAAGGTTCCTGGTCTAGCAGTGCAGTTCCTGCAGTCATTCCAGAAGTCTTGGCAGTGTGGTGTTTGTGGGCTCTGACTCCAATGTTGGGAGCCACAGTAGGAGGTCAATTTAGGCTCCTAGATTCTTATGGTTTGGGTTGGAGTGTGGACTTTTGGCATCCTGTAATGGGCAGCACTGGTTCTGAATGAAAATTCCCCCAAGAGTGGTAATGGCTTCCCGGACTTGCTAAGTAACCTCATCTTCCCTGTTTTAGTCCTCAAACCCTTCTATCACTTTTGTATTCAGTTTCTTATGTTTCAGTTTCTGGGTTTTCGATATTTAACATGGTTTCAGTTTTTCTGATTGGATATTGACTGAAACACCTTCTATTTTTAGCTTGCTAATTTTTTCCCTAATCAGTTGTGGTTGTTGAATTTTATCAGAACTATTTTTTCGAATCTGTCAAGACTATTATAGTTTTTTCCTCCCCTTTAATGTGTCTAAACAGTAAATTACAATAGAAGATTTCTTTTTTTTTAATTTTTTTTAACGTTTATTTATTTTTGAGACAGAGAGAGACAGAGCATGAATGGGGGAGGGGCAGAGAGAGAGAGGGAGACACAGAATGGGAAGCAGGCTCCAGGCTCTGAGTCATCAGCCCAGAGCCCGACGCGGGGCTTGAACTCACGGACCGTGAGATCATGACCTGAGCCGAAATCGGACGCTTAACCGACTGAGCCACCCAGGCGCCCCAATAGAAGATTTCTTAAATCATTCTTGCATTCTGGGGATAAACTCTGCTTGGGTGCATTTTTTGTTCTTTTAGAGCACTGCTTGGTTCAATTCATTAAAATTTAAATTAAGATTTTTTTATTCTTAATTTCTGAATTAAGATTTCTAAGATTCATATTTATAAGTGAGATTATCAGGAGCTGACAATTTTTTCCTTTGAAAGTCAAGATAGTGAATATTTTACATTGTGCAACCAGTCTCCATTGCAACTATTCAACTTGGCTGTTGTAACAGCCACAGTCAATACATAAACAGATGTTCACAGTGTGTGTTCCAATAAAACTTTATTTATAAACACTGGATTGAATCTCATATAATTTTTGCATGTTACCAATATTATTCTTTTGAGTTTTTTCAGTCTTTGAAAATGGTAGCCACAGGTCATGTAAAAACACTTGGCAGGCTGGATTTGTCCACAGGCTGATCCCTGCCTTATTTTTTTCTTTTTGGAGAATCATCCTCATCTAGTTTGGAATCAGTGTTACATTAATTGTGTTCAATGAACTTTGAATTTTCTATGCTTCAGAGCAGTTAAAATTACATGGAAAGTATCCTTTCACCGAAGGTGGTAGAACTAGTTCATAAGGCCATGTGGGCTTGGCACATTTTGGGGAATTAGATTATTGAATGTCTTTTCCAGTTTTTCTCTACTTACAGACTTTCTTTTTTTCATTTTTTATTTCAAAAAATTTTTAAGTTTATTTATTTATTTTGAGAGAGAGACAGAGAGAAAGAGCAAAGAAGGAGAGAGAATCCCAAACAGGCTCCAAGCTGTCAGCGTGGAGCCTGAGGCAGGGCTCGAACCCATGAATTGTGAGATCATGACCTGAGTCGAAACCGAGAGTCAGATGTTTAACCGACTGAGCCACCCAGGCACCCTCTACTTATAAACTTTCAACTTATGAACTCCTACAGATATAAAGCTACACACCAGCAATCTACTGGTTCCTCCTGCCACCGCTATCATATTTGTGTTTGGAAAGACCACTCTGTCTATGGTGTAGAGAACGGATCAGGCTGGGACAAGTGTGAATGTTGGAGGGAAAGCGCTGTTGTCCAGGAAGAGATGATGGGGACCAAGATGGCGGCAGCGCCTGGTAGATGAAAGGGGTTAGACAGACTGCAGAAACACTTAAGAAGTGTGTTAGGGGCTTTCAAGACCACTTCCATGTTCACTGATTCACTAAGAGGAGGACTTACAGGGCCTTTGTCAGGCCACAGAGTCTTGCCTGTATCCTTCCTACATGCTTGGTGTCTTCTCTTGAGAAACAAAACCAAGGAAGACACAGAAGGAGTCAGTGCATTATCGGATAGTTTGTGTTCATCTGCTGGCACGGAGGAGGTAGTCTCCTTTCATAGGCACTGGCAAAGTCAAATTTATGCACAACAAATCGTTTATTAATGGAAATTTACAAGGGGGCTATATGTTTAGCTTTGAGTGGGAGGTTTTAGAAGCCTGCACAAAGAGGGGTCCTCAGACTGATCCTTGAAGCATGAAATAGCTAGGGATGGAAAGGGGCGAAGGCATACCCCAGGCAGATAACACAGCGTCGGCAAAGGTGTGGAGCAGGAAAGGGTCTGGTGGGTTCATGGACTCGCGTACTTCCATGTGACTGGAGCCGAGGGAGAAAGCAGGAGGAAGGCCTGGAAGTTCTGATGGGTCAGATTGCTCAGGAGTCTGGTCCCACAAGAAAAATTTTTCAGCAGAAAAACAAAGGACAAGGCCAGTGTTTTGGAGATTGCTCATTATGTGGTGAGAGCCCAGGTAATAGTGATAAAGGACTGAGTGATAGGGAATGATCTGGAAGAGTGGGCACCGGGAGGGAGGGTGTGTTGAGAGCTGGGCAGCGTGAGGGGACATGGTTGAGTTGCCCTTGACAAGACCTAGTGACTTTTGGATGTAGGGGCTCTGGAGTCAAGAATGTACGTTTTCTTCCTTGGGAAGCTGCGGGCTGGGGAGGCAGCGAGCACTGTGGTTCCGCAAACAGCCCCGGGACCTGGCGGGCCACGAGTGGCATCCTGGTTTCAATATTAACTTGGACGAGCTTAGCCTTTCTATGACTCCGTTTCTTCCTTTGTGAAATGGAGGAGGGTGGCATCCACTTCAGGGAGTCGATGAGTTTCAGCGTTTCTTGTGGGCTTTAAACGAGTTAGTACACATAAAACAGCAGGGTGGGAAATGGCATACAGTAGGTACTAATCCGTGTTAGCCATTATGATTATGGCGGGTCGTGAAAGTTTAAAGGTACACAGCTCGGTTTTTTAAATAATTAAAAAAAATTTTTTTAATGTTTTTGTTTATTTGGAGAGAGAGGGAGAGAGCGAGCGAGCGAGCGAGCAGAGGAGGGGCAGAGAGAGAGAGAATCCCAAGCAGGCCCTGGGCATCAGGGCAGAGCCCGACGCGGGGCTCATACTCACAAACCGTGAGACCATGACCTGAGCCAAAATCAAGGGCCGGTCACTTAACTGACTGAGCCACCCAGACTCCCTGGTACACAGCTGTTGTTAAACTATTAAATAGTGTCGCATAATTCTTCCTTCCTCCTCTGTTTCTGTTATTCTTCTGATATTAATAGTGGAAATTCGTACTCTATTTCTCTCGGTTTGCGACAACTCAGCACAAGTGCTTATGACCTGGATCCCTTGTTTGCTGTGAAACCAGCCCTACCCAAAATGCAGACGGAGAGCTCCACGCAAGATTCTTTAATGGGTGTTCCCAATAGAGGGGTTGAGTGGTTATCCACACAATGGAGTTAATACATGAATACATTTACTTGGAGCTGCTCTTGGTGACTTTAAAATACGATTATATGTACGCAGTCATTCAACAAATATTTTGTCGTCCCCCTATGAAGGGTCAAGCAAAGTGCTGGGTGTTGGGAGTCCAGAGCTGGGTATAGGAAGGCAGCATGGTACGAGAGCAAGTACGTGGCCCTTGGTGACAGGAAGTCTTGACTTCAAGTCCTGTCTTCCCAAGCTGACTGATTTTGCTAAGTATTTATTCCCTCTGTCTTAACGGAGACTAGAAGAACTAATTTCTAATGTTTATCATTTTTGAGAGAGAGAGAGAGAGAGAGAGCGGGGGTGGGGGGAGCAGAGAGAGAAGAAGACACAGAATCCGAAGCAGGCTCCAGGCTCTGAGCTGTCAGCACAGAGCCTGACACGGGGCTCGAACTCACGAACCGCGAGATCATGACCTGAACCAAAGTCGGACGCTCAATCGACTGAGCCACCCAGGCGCCCCTAGAAGAACTAACTTCTACTCTACAGGGTTGTTGTGAATTTTGGATGAGGTATAAAGCATCTAGTGTAGCAGCTGATACACAAACTAAACCCTTAATGAACTGTCCCGGTCTCTGGCCCTCAGGAGTTCTCTGTTTGCATTATTATTATTCGGACCAGCCCCGTTCTGTCGTCTGGCTGGGGAGCTGGGGGCAGAGGAGGGCACCGTGGTAAGCAAAATGACGGAAGGAACAAGCATTGATGTGGGAGGGCTGAGAGTTAAGAGTTCGGCACACAACACTAATTTAGCACAATATCGGCTACATTTGTGCTGCAAGAACCCTGTTGTACAGAGTTAGCATCCGATGGAGGTGTTGGGCCTATAAGAACAATTTGCAGGCACATTCTACCAGGGCAGCCTCATTTAGTCCCTACATCAACCCTATGTGGTAGGAGCCGTTATTACCCCCATTTTACAAGCAGGGAAACTGAGGCCCAGAGAGGTGAGCCTAAATTGCCCAACGTCTCAGAACTAAGAAACCAGGATGCCGACGCAGGCGCTCCAGCATGGAAGCCTGCATTTTGGGACCAGTCAATACCCTTCTTCCTTCTGTCTCCTTCTTCAAACTTCATTTTACAGCCAGTAGAGACTGTCACTAATGATTCTGCAAAAAATTACTCAAATCAAGGAAGACTCAGGGAAAAGTCAAGCAGAAGAAAAGTAATGCATCTGGAAGAAAATATGGCCCGGCCATTTCTTTTCTCCGGGCTGAATCTGAGAAATGCCAGACAGGTTGGTCGCCTTTCCTTTGCCCGTTTTCCAAAGTGGCCCAGTCAAGTTCTTCTCGTGTGGGCCGTGTAGTTTAGAGCATTTTATAGCTTTTTTGAAAACATCCCGTTTTAAATCGGCTTCACTTTCTTTTTCTGAAAGGCATTCCCTGCATTGTTTCTCAAGTTCTCTACCGAAAAGGCCCACGTGGACCCACAAGCCCCTGGGGAGGTGCTGCCTTACCTGCTCTGGCCACTAGGGGGCCCTGCCCCTGAGACTTCAATTTCTTTTTGAGAGAGAGAGAGAGCGCGAGCGAGCAGGGGAGGGGCAGAGAGAGAAGGAGACAGAGGATCCGAAGTGGGCTCTATGCTGATGGCAGAGAGCCCAATGTGGGGCTCGAATTCAAGAGCTGGGAGATCATGGCTTGAGTCGACCTCAGATGTCCATCCGACTGAGCCACCCAGGGGCCCCGAGATTTCAATTTCAACACCCATTTGGGAAAGCTGGCCCATCTGGGCGTGATGCGAGGTTCCGTTCCATCGAAGGAATAGTTGCATAGACCCGTCGGTCACAATCTAGTTCGTCTTAAGTCTGTGGAAATGAAGATCACCCCCATTTTACAGAAGGGGAATCTGAACACGGAGCCCTGAAGGGATGGGGTGAGTAGCTTCCATCTTCATAAATCGGAAGATCCACAGGAAGGCAAGAGTGAGAGACAGGAGCTCGGTGGTCCTCAGTCCCAAAGGCCACGTGAAGAATTCCCGGTGTGTTCTCACGGGAGACCCAAGGGACTCTGGCCTCTGCCTCTTTTCCTTCTTCCCCACTCGCCAGGGGGGCTCTAGGACACTAGCAATTTGACTGGCTGAGAGCACCAGGGAGAGGCGGGGCGGGTTAGAGAAGGGCGACGTTCAGGAGGGGTCCCTCAACTCAGGTGAAGGTGAGACCTGCTTCTATTTTAGGGTCTGTTGAATGTCACTTTGGGGCTTCTCCATCCTTCGGACAAGTCTCTTTATTTCTTCCTTCACGTGTCTCCCTAGGGTGACTGCCTCTCACCTCACACCTGGTTCACTCCTTCAGTTCATGCGTACGTTGGTCTAACTCTGAAAGTCTCCCCCCCACCCCCATGGCCGTACACTGACGCCTGCCTTCTGACATTTAACGCTTGCCATGATCGGACGCCGCCACGCGTATTGGCTTCCGTCTATCCACACCTGCAACGTGTACCTTCCATTTGAGCTGGCCGGTCATTTTCAATCCTATTCAGTCGCATTTATTCACCTCAGGGCCCAAGGCATGGTGTTTGGGGCGGTGGATGCACGAGTGACTGACACTCTCATCTCTCGTGGTCACTCTTTAATGTCATGACGTCATGGATCCTGCCCTTAAGCGTATACAGTGTGGAGGGAAACAAATAAGGACGTATGCTGTGGGGCAGAAAGAACTGAGGACCCAGGGGGGAAAGGAGTTTTAAAAAGCCATGATTAATTTGACTGCAGATCGTTTCGATGGTTGGGTTGTACTCAGTTCTCCTAAAGTGCCAGAAATATAGCCAGTCAATTCCTTTTGGCCAGTAGGATACTGGGTATGGTCTCTTCTTGCCGACGCTGCTTGGAATAGGTGTTAGTCTGGCTCTGCAGAGAAACGGGACCAACAGGAAAGCGATATATACAACAAGGAGCTGGCTTGTGTGGTGATGAAGACTGAGAAATCCCCAGGTCTGCAGTCAGCCAGCTGGAGAGCTCACGGTGAAAGCTCCAGTCCAAATCCAAATCCAAACCCTAGGGCAGGAGCACTGATGTCCCAGCTCCAAGACGGTCAGGCAGAGAGAACGAATTCTCCTTTACTCTGCCTTCTTCTACCCAGGCTCTTGATGGATTTGGTGATGGGCGCCCATACTGGAGTGGGGATTAACCTACTTTACTCGGTCTACCAATCCAAATGTTAATCTCATCCAGGATGGATACCCCTAGAATAATGTTAATATCTGGGCCCTCAAGCGCCCAGTCACGTGGAAAGCTTGGCTAGAAAGAAAAGCTGAAGAGGCTTCTGAAGTACAGCCTGAAGAAATATGCCCTGACCACCTCGTCCCTACAGAAAGAACACTCCATTTGGAGGGTGCGTCTGCACAGTGGACAGCTACCCCTCCAATGGCTTCCCAGGCGACACCGTCACATGTGGTTGGTTGGGCTGGTCCAGCCAGCTGTCCCCTGCACAAAAGTTCCCGGGCAGAGGGGCAAGCGGAGGCTGAAATGCAGCCCACCCTCTGCTCGTCAAGCCACACACTTGGGAGGGGCTGTATCCGCCTCCGGAAAAGGGGGTTTTTGCCTAATTTGCCCAAGGTGCTGTGTGGGCCGTGGAGGCCGTGCACCGGGGCCCCTCCCGGACACTGAGCGTGGTCAGGGCATCCCAGGCGGTGCGCGAAACATCAATCCTTTCTACCTATGGGGTTGCTGGGAAGGGTCATCACCTCCAGTCACGAAAAGTCCCGTATTGGGGTGATGGTTTGCTATCTCCAGGTAAGATCCGAACAGAGGGAGTCTGGGTCTGGGGCATCTGCTGGAACACATGATGTGGGAAGCTCAGTGTCCGTACAGTGAATGCCGTCCAGGAGCCTAGATCACATTTTCATAGGTTGAAGTCCCAGGAGGTTTGCCGTCCTGAGTGCTGGTCTTCCCCATCTGCGTACGAGGAGATGGAGCGACAGGTTAACCGTGAGCTGCCGCTGGGGAACCCCAGCCCCGGGCGGCACCCAGGACGGTTCTGTAGAGGGCACAGGGAGGTGCCTCCGTTTCCCTGGTGCTGGTGGAATCTGGGCCAACAGGGCTCTGCCCTTTGCTGGGTCCCTTGCCTCTGCTCCAGGCTCCCTCTCGGAAGCCCTTGTGCAATCAAGCGCGTGGCCCACACAAAAGCAGCAGGCGGGAATGGGGGTATTCGCTCGGATTTTGATCGTAGGCTCAAACTACCAGTATTCCTGGTTCGCAGCGGAGCGCCAGCTCCTTCTGAACCCCCAGAATTGCACCTCACACAGCGGAGGGTCACTGCCACTAGTGTCCTGTGGTCTGATGGCAGGGAGCTCTGCAGGCAACCTTCCCACCGGCTGGCGGAGTCTTAGCCTTGGGGGTGGGGCTTGGGCTTGGGGCTGGCGGCTTCGCCACCGGGGGTTCCCAGGACTCCCCACTCCCCCACTGGCACCCCCCCCCCAGATCCCCCAAGAGAACATGGCACGGGCCCTTAGTCCTGACATTCTGACCACCGACCTCCCCTACTGCCTGGTCCGTGAAGGGTCCCGTGTTCTCAAGGGAAGTGAGCCGCGCGTGGGACTAAGGCCACGGTGAGAGTGCTCCAGTGTGGAACTGGCAGGTGTGAGCTCTGCTTTGGGCCCGGCAGACCCGCAGCCCTCCCCAGCCCGCTCCCAAATAAAGCGGGCCCAGGAGGAAAAAAGAATTTTCAAAGGACGTAGGGACCAATTCCTAACCTCCGTCCACCTGGTCCAGAGGACACGCTTCAAGATGCCCCGAGCCGGGAAGCCCTGATCGATTCCTCTGACCTGTCCTGGCCCATATCATCGCCCGTGTCCTCCCGCTGTCCTTCCGATCCCGGCTCAAACAGGCGGCCACCCTGCCCCTCACTGCCCGCTTCTCCTTCCCCTTCCCTCCTTCTTTCCTCAGTCGCCCCTTCCCTTCCCCCTCCCTCCTTCCTGCTCCTGAGCACTGAGGAAGAAGAGGTCCTTCTGTCTCATTCTCCAGGACACCGGCTTATCTTTACACCCCAACTGACCCGTGCACGGAGTTCTCTTGCAAACTCCCAGACGCCCTACCGGTTCAGCGCTTAATTCTTACTCCCGATCCACTGTAGCCAATTTCCTAATATTTCCTCCCGCTCTTGATTTGTTCTCATTGCCTCACTCTTCTCCCTTTCCCCTAGACTCCCCGGGTTCATGCGGATCTCTTACGATGATTTTGCCCAGCTGCTCAACAGCCACACTAACAAAACATTTGATTCGCCAAGAGACCTCTAATCTGTCCTTCTGACTATAGCGAAAAAGGATCCTCAGACAGTGACATCCCCCAGACTGGAAGTCCTGTCACAGCACAGGACCTCCCTTTCCTCTTTGTGTGTTCCAGAGCAGGACACTGAGGCCCGGGGCCCTGTGAGTGTCACTGCTCCGTCGCAGATTGTTGTACGGGTTGCATGCTGTAAAAGTCCACCGGATGTAGGGAATGTGGAACTGAAATTCAGCCTGTGTTCTACTTGCCGGTCTGGGTGACTGGTGTGGGTCTGTGTCTGTCCAGAGGGGGGCACCTGGTTTCTCTAATTTTTACCCTGTGAGCTGGCATGGCCCCAGGTGCTCTAGAGGCTGGCGTTTCCACACCAGAGTTCAGAGGCTCCTGCATGTACACGCAGGCCAGCTGTCGGATGGCCGTGGACCTGGGGAGCAGGACTCATGCGTGAGATACCTGCAGACCGAGGCCCTGGGCACTTAGTCTCGGGAAGTACAGAGAAGGGGACCGAGGGAACCCGCTGGCCCCTGGTGGGGTGGGCAGGGTTCAGCAGAGTGGCCGGAACACGGGACCACAGAAATAAAAACACAAGGATTCACCTTCTCAGACTGCAGTGTGGAGTAAATCCCGTTCACGGGCTCCTCCTTGGCGGGGCGCTCCTGTAAAACACCCATCTTCCCCTCAGTGAGGGGCCCAGGCGAAAACCTCTCGAGTTCCCCTTCCTGCTTCTGCCCCGCCTCCTGCCCCCTGCTCCCATGTCACTAGTCAGCCACCCCCAACCCCCAAGCGTCTCACGGCCCCCAACCCCCGCCTCAGCTCTGGTTCCATCCAGCGGTCGGAGAGGGTCAGGGCCGGGTATGGGGCGGCGAGGGAGGGGCAGGCGGGTGAATGGCCAATGGGAGGAGGGGCTGTGCTGCAGCCAGAACAGGAAGTTGAGTTCAAGGGGACCTTTCAGTTCTGTGCCCTTGGAGGCCCCTTAGCCCCCTGTTCCTGTGCCAGTGGCCACCTAGTAGCCCTCACCTCACACCAGGTCCCCCATGGAAGGTGCGCCATCCCTAAGGAAGCCTCTGGCCTCACCCACAGCCAGGCCCCCATGTGGAAGCTGATGGCCTCCAGCCCTGGAGGCCGCCATGGGGTGACAGTTGGCCACGTTCCTGTCCTCGTAGAGGGGCTCCTGGTATCATTTTCCCGACATGACGATTCTTGGTTGGAGACTCCAGATCCTTGGCCTGTTGTTCCCCGACTCCCTTTCCTGGGGGTGGTGGTGGAGGGGTGGGGAGGAGTGGCCCATGAATAGTATCAGCTCACCTTGGACTGGGGGATTTCATCATAGATTCTGCCCTCTGCTGGTGGGGCATCTCTCGTGACCATGACGTAAGCATATATCGTTTTCCTAGAGATGGCATCTGTGTCACAAATAAACAGAGGAGCGCAGGGTGTGACAGGTGGCTGGAGTCTAGAGATGAGCTATTGTAACGTTCTCTTTTTCGGATAAAGAAATAAAGCCCTAAAGGGTCAAATGGCTCCCACTGTCCTGAGACGGATGCTCGGGTCCTTGGACTGCCTCTCTGTCTTCTGGGGATTTCACGTGTTGTGGGAGGCACTGGCCCGGGCCTCGCTCACCCGGGGCTCCGTGGGGACCCTGCCTGCTCTAGGGTCCACATTAGGCTGACGACATTCTCCCAGCCCCGAGTGGGCCGGCAGAGGACCTCCTCCTCCCAGGGCGTCTCTGGCACTTCGTGCTGACCGCCTGGCTGGCCAATTGCCTCTTCCCGTGAGGTCTTGGTTCCTCAACCAGATTGATTCTCTCTAGTTAGACACTGTTTTGGACTCCTTCACTGTTACCACCTCAATGTTAAGCACATAGAAGACACTCTATAAACATGCGTTGTTGTAGGGCCCCGGGGTGGCTCAGTGGGTTAAGCGTCCAACTCTGGCCCAGGTCATGATCCTGCGCTTCCTAAGTTCAAGCCCCGCATGAGGCTCTCCGTTCTCAGCCCAGAGCCCACCGCAGATCCTCTGTCTCCCTCCCTCTCTCTGCCCCTCCCCAAAATAAATAAACAACAAAAACCCACGCATGGTCGCTTGACAGATCTACACGGTCAAACACTTCCTAAGCCCCCTCTGTGCTCCGGGCTGTGTGTGAGGCCACGGAGAGGCAAAGACGGGAGAGACCAGTCCCTACTCTTAAGAATTCCTGGGCTGTTAAAGGCATTCACCCCAGTGTGTTCCTCTCCTTGGAACACTTCACGGTGAAGTTAAAAAGAGATGGCCAGAATCTCGGGCCTTCATACTCCAGCGCACCTGGGACCTTCCGCCCAGACTGTCTGCAAAGCAGAAGCTGAGTCTTAAGCAATCTGCCGTGAACTCATCTCTCCCAGTTGTCATCCAGGGGGAACTGCGTGGCTGAGAACTTACCAGAGTTCTTCCTGGAGGTCTTCAGGTAGGAACCTAAGGAATCAGACCCAAAGGAGAGTCAAGGAACATGGAGGCAGAGGTGGGGCCTCTCTACATCCAGGCTTGTTATTAGGATTGGTGGGGAAGGAAGGTTTCGGGAGATGGTGGGGTTGGGAGGCACAGGAGGGTATAATGATCCTCTGGGACCCCAAGAGCAGGGTTTCTGAATTGCGAATGGCACACTCACAGAAGGATCCAGAAGGATCCAGAGGTACCTAGTGATGACCATGGAATGCAAAGTTAGTACATGTCCCTCAACGACTCTCCAAAGGTCATAGACAAAATGGAATTGGAAGTGACCCTGGAAACCCTCTAGTTCAGATCTCATTTCACGTGTTGACAGCACTGAGCCAGAGAGGTAAAGACACCTATCCCGTGAAGCACAGCCTCTTAACTGCAGTACTCAACTCAAACCCAAATTCTGAGCCCACCAGATACCGACGACCTCAGGAAGAGATTCTGAAGCGCACTCAGGGCACTGGCATCCAGGACGAGGGGTCATCACCGGAGGTGGTGGGGTGGGGCTCAGAGGAAGGCAGGTTCCCTGGAACAGAGGACCTCTCCACACCACCTTGGATAAATGACTCCAGCCCCAGGAAGAAGGAAGGTGCGTTTCCACACTTTACCTTCTGGAAAAATCTTACCTTGTCCTCTTTTGCACAGAAGGCACAGAAGCACTGAAGGCACAATGACAACAAACAGAAAGAGCACAGCCAGCCCGCTCAGCAGCCCAGTGTGGCGGGGACGGAGGCCCGCTGCCGCGTCTGGAAACAGAAGACACAAGGAGACGTGGTTCTCAGGAAATAGGCCCACGGGCTTGCCCCCACTCAGGGGCACTATCAAAAATGGGGTCCCCGCCAGGGGGGGTGCCAAACTCCAAGGGAAACTCTCCTTTCTGCTATCGAAGGTCAGGATTAGACACGGAATCAGAGGGCCAAGCGGGGGCGACCTCCGGAACACCCCAAGTGCCTGGCCTATCTCGGACAGCTTTGGGCTCTTTGCCGGGTCCTCCTGGGGGGAGATGTCCCTGGAGACCGGGCCTGGCGTGAGGGAGGGACACTCCGCTGGGGAACGAGGCCCAGTTGAGGCCTCGCCGCTCGGAGGCTAAGGAGAGAGGGACAGAGCTGTTCACCTGCACAGAGCTGTCGGGCCAAGATGGAGTCGGAGCTGTTGCTGACAGGGTTCCAGGCTGTACACGTGTAAGTCAGCTCTTGGTTGTCAGGGGTCTGGAAGATTCGAACGACATTACCCTCTTTCCCCAAGGGGCTCCAACTGTATGTGACATTCCTTTCTTCCTCTTCCACAGAACACGTCAGTGTGACATTACAGGTGCTGTTGACAGATGCCATTAAACTCTGAGTAATCTTTGGCTTCCCAAGCCGACCTGGGAGGGGAAAACACATGTGTCCCTAGTAAAGCTGGAGCCGGCCTATACCAGCCTGTGGGAGCCAACTGTTAAATCTTCAGAAATGTTTTTAAAATGTTTTTAATGTTTATTTATTTTTGAGAGAGAGAGAGAGAGAGAGTGGGAGCAGGGGAGGGACACGGAGAGAGGGAGACGCAGAATCCGAAGCAGGCTCCAGGCTCCGAGATGTCAGCACAGAGCCCGGTGGGGGGCTCGAACTTGCGAACCATGAGATCATGACCTGAGTCGAAGTTGGACGCTTAACCGACTTAAGCCACCGAGGCGCCCCCAGAAATTTTTTCAAGAGGGCGGTTAAACACAGCCATCATGAAAAATTAAATTATAAAAACTTACAAAGAACTACATTGCATTTTTTTAAAAAGCTGATACATACTCAAAACTCACCGCTTTGTATTTTTTTGGACAATTACAATTATCTGTGCTTTTAAAGTTACTCACATCTGTCGTTATCTGTCTTTTGTCACGCTTTACAAAGTCTTCCCAATTCTGCCTGTCTTAACATGAGCCACGCGCAATGGGAATATTTACACCGCAGAAATTGGCCAAGGTTACAAACTTGGGCTGGGCCGACTGCGTTGCTGATGGTCACTCGACTGAAGAAAACAGTAGGAGAAGGATTACTAAAGCAGATTCGGCTGAAAAATGCCTCCAGTCTGCAGCCATTACATTGTGAACAGCACCAAAAAACGAGGAAATCTTCTTCCGGCGTCTGAAAACGGTTATCCAATTCAGAAGTTGCTCACATCGATGTGCAAGTGAAGCTCTGTAATGAGTTTGTTGAATCACTTTTTCCTCATCGGTTAGTGTAACGAAAATACCAACCAATATTCCTGTTGGCTTCTTCATCGATTGCAACGTAGGTTGAGTGGCATAAATGTCCAGGAAAAATCTGTGAAAGCATCTGCAAATATAATTGGCTCTATGGGATTTACAATAAAGACTCCTGTATATTTTATTATCATTTATGAAATTGTGTGTCACACATCCTCTGTGTCAATAAAATCTCTGCGTGTGAGCATGCACATACGGGCCATCGAGAACTCGCTGAACATTTATCAGCACCCCACTGCACGAAACAGTCTTTAAAACCATTTGGGGGGGCACCTGGGTGGCTCAGTCTGTTAAGCAACCGACTCTTGATTTCGGCTCAGGTTACGATCTCACAGTCTGTGGGATTGAGCCCCGAGTTGGGTTCTGTGCTGACAGCGAGTAGCCTGCTTGGGATTCTCTCTCTCTCTCTCTCTGTCCCTCCCCAACTCACACTTCCTCTCTCTCAAAAGAAATAAGCATTTAAAGAGGTTTTTTTACTCTGTTTTCTGGTGTATTTTCATTAAGTTGTTTTGTTTTGTTTCGAAGTGCCCATGGTGAAAAGTTACAGCCTCTCTCTCTTTTTTGGGGGGAGTTGACTGTATGCCTCTTTTATTTTTATTTATTTTTAATATAATTTATTGACAAATTGGTTTCCATACAACACCCAGTGCTCATCCCAACAAGTGCCCTCCAGTTACAATCTCTTTACAAAGTTCACTAAAAAAAAAAAAAAAAAAAAAAAAAAAATGTTTTTACCAAAGCACTCGAAAGGTAAACTGTACAAGTTCTAGGCTAGGAAAGGGTTAACTGAAGAACAATTTATATTTGGTTTGAAGTAAGAGCTATCTGGGGCCAGCAGAAGGAAGGGGGAAGATCTTCTCTCTTTTACCAGCAGATAAGAAAACGCCCACATTCAGAGTTGGTAAATTTAGTTCATGCTTGGCCAAGCTGCGGTGCTGGGTTTTTTCTTTCCACCATAGTCACGTGGGAAGGGCTCAGAAGGAACCGGCATGTAGCTTTCTAATTCATGTGGTGTTTCTAAAGTTGTCTGTGCATGTGAGGGAGAATATGGGAAGTAAGAAGCTGTAAAGGCTTCTTACTCCAACCTCACCAGAAACCCTGGTCCTAAGCAGAGGGGTCCTCTCAGAGGGGTCTATTCCAAAGCAGAATTAGTGGTGACTTATGAAAAAACTCCCAACGAGTTTGAAGTAACCTTGATGAGCTATAAAGGTGACAGATACAGATGTATACAGCAAAAAAATAAGCGTGTGTGTGTGTGTGTGTGTGTGTGTGTGTCTTTAGAAACTTGATTTACAAGAATGTTGAAGTCCTCTGCTTGGTATTTACTTATTTTTAGAAAGACCATTTTTTAAATTTTTTTGCTGGGTGTTGAAGTGGGGAGGACTGGTAATGAATAAGAGCCTATCTCGTTTTTTTTTTCAGCAGGAACAGAGAGGTTACCAGAACCAAGCTGCTGGGCAGAGGTCAGAGCTGTGGTCGCAAGTGGGAAAGCCACTGGAGACCCGTGTCTAACCAGGCTCTACTGCTCTCTAGAGTGAGGACACATACAGCTTCGCTGAACCTTCACTCTGTCATTTACAACATGAGGATGCTTTGTTCCTGCCAGTGTTGTTTGTTGTGAGGACTGAATGAGCTATTGTATATAAAGAACACTCTACTTTTGGGATGAGCACTGGGTGTTGTATGGAAACCAATTTGACAATAAATTTCATATATTGAAAAAAATTAAAAAATTAAAAAAGAAAGAGAGAACACTCTAACACCCAAATGTCTGTCTATCTATCTATCTATCTATCTATCATCTATCTATCCATCTACATTAATTATCTATGGGAAAATCAAAATCAACTAGCAACAATGACTGCCTTGGAGAAGGAAGAGTTGCAATGCACTGTATTGTCTTTCTCTCTGTGCATATATTGCCTAAATATGTGTGATTTCTCTATATTTTTAAAAATTAAGTGGTAGAATGCCAGACACAGAGAGTTCAATAAATGTCAGTTCCCTTCTCTTCATCTGCTCAGCTACCTCCCTAAAAGGTACAGATTTTGGTATGTGGGCAATCTGACTTTCTCCGAGACTTTCCCGTGGTCTGTCCTAACCGCAGGTGGCATAATACCTTCCAAAGATCGAGTGGGTAAAACTAAACATAAAAAGATGAAAACAAACGTCTTGAAATTGAACACCCTCTTTAGTTTCCCAACCAAAGTTCTTGAATGAACCAGATATTTTCTAAAGTGTCCACGGCAGGGTGCGGTTCTTTGTGTTACGCGTGCCCAATCCAGAGCCTCCTCCGTCTAGGAAGCCCTTCATAATTAGAATTTAAAATAAGGACTAAGGGTTAAAAAGTTAGTAATGACTAGTCATTAGGCATCAACTGTAAGGCATGGGCTATCCTAGGAGCTCTCTCATTTAATCACACCTGTTATAAGCTACATTCTACAGATGAGCACATGGAAGCCCAGAGAGGGTAAACAACTTGGCTGAAGTCACACAACTGGCAAGAGATCCAATGTCAGCATTGATGCCCTTTCCACTATGTCTTCCATCCGGATACAACCTGAGTCAATCATGCTGTATGAATTGAGCACTTACAATTGTCCGCCACTGTGTTGGGACCTGGGATTTATTATGCGTCATTCATTCTTTCATTGAACACATATTTCTGAAGCACCCACCATGTGCCCGACAGGGTAGGTGCTAGGGATACAGGGATGGACTTCATATACAAAGTCCCCGCCTTTATGGAACTTGAATTCGGTGGCTTAACTATATACCTGAATGGTATCTATCTACCACAGTGTGGCTTAGCCACATGTCTGTGTTCTTCTGCCGTGAGCAGGTGGATGGTGAAATCCTTGAGACATGGCTCAAGTATGATGCAGGCTAGAAATTACGGCTGCTCAATAGAAACAAAACTATTGTAATTCACTGTAAAAGGGAATCACTTTTGTAATTAAAATGTTTCTAACAGTCACATTAATAGTGAAAATAAATTATATTAATTTTAGTAACGTATTTTCCTTAACCTAATATAGCCGAAATGTTATCTTAACCGCTAACCAACATAAAAATTATTAATGAGGTATCTTAGCTTCTTTTTTTGGTGCTGAGACTTGGAAATTTGGTGTGCATTTTACACTTATAGTACATCTCACTTTGGGCTCGCCACATTTCGAATACTCAAGAGTCACATGTACCACACCAAGAGTGAACCCTGATGTAAACTTTGGACCTTGGGTGGTGATGATGACCTTATGTACGTTTTCCCTGTAACAAATGCACCGCTGGTGGGGATGCTGATCATGGGGGAGGTAATGTGTGTGTGCCAGGGGTGGGGGGTGGGGAAGTCATGTGTATGTGCTGGGGGTGGGGGGTGGGGAGGTCATGTGTGTGTGCCGGGAGGGCAAGGTGCGTATGGGAGCTCCCTGTACTTCCTACTCAGTTCTTCTCTGAACCTTAAACTTCTCTAAAAATAGAGCGATTTAAAAGAGAGAAGAAAGTTCTGGAGACGCTAAGGGCGGTGGTTGTACAGCACTGTGAATGTAGGTAATGTTACTGAACAGTACACTTAAAAATGGTTAAAATATTAAGTGTTACGTATATTTTATCAAAATAAATTTTTTTAATGTTTATTTATTTTTGAGAGCAAGTGAGAGCCAGAGCCAGCGGGGGAGGGGCAGAGAGAGAGGTAGACAGAATCCGAAGCAGGGAGACAGAATCCGAAACGTGAACTCGGGAGCCCTGAGATCACGACCTGAGCCGAAGTCGGACGCTTAACCGACTGAGCCACCCAGGTGCCCCGTGTCACAATAAACATTTTTTAAAGAAAAAAAAAAAAAGAAAAATGGATTTACCATATGTTTTCATTCTTGGGCATTTATCCCGGAGAAACACAAACTTGTTTCATGCAGAAACTTGTACGTGAATGTGCATGGCTGCTGTGTTCGTAATCGTTCCAAAGTGGAATCAACTAAAATGTCCCTTGATCGATGGAATGGTGAACCAACCTAGTACATCCATACAAGGGAATACTATCCAGCAATAAACAGATATAAACCATTGAGGCCTGCAATAATTAGGATGACTCAGAAGTACATTATGCTGAGCGAAAAAACAACCAATCTCAAAAGCACACATGCCACACGAGGTCCATCTCTGTAACATTCGTGAAATAACAGAAGGATAGATGGGAGGAAGGGATGGGCATCTCCCAGGAGTTGGGGAGGGATGACCAGGAAGGACTGAGGGAGTCTTGTCGCCATGGTACGGTTAAGTACCTTCACCGTGATAGCGGTTGCCCGGTGCAAGCTACGCGTATACTCACACGTGAATAGGCTCCATAGATGTACATTGTCAGCTTCCTGGTTTTGATATCGTATCACAATTGTGTCAGATGTTACCACTGGGAGAGGCTGGGTGAAGGGCACACAGAACCTTCCGGTACAGTTCCTTACACCTCGCAATGCATCTACACTTATTTTAAAATAAAAAGTGTGTGGTGTTGTTTTTTTTTAAAGTACTTTCCAGCATTTGACTTCGGTTCAGGTCACGATCTCACGGCTCATGAGTTCGAGCCTCACATCAGGCTTGCTGCCGTCAGCACAGAGCCTGCTTAGGATCCTCTGTCTCCCTCTCTCTCTGCCCCTCCCCCACCTCAAAAATAAGCATTAAAAAGAAGTTACAATGACCTATGAAGACCAAAAGGTGGGGTGCCTGGGTGGCTCAGTCCGTTGAGCACCCGACTTCGGCTGAGGTCATGATCTCGCGGTCTGTGAGCTTGAGCCCCACGTCGGGGTCTGTGCTGATGGCTCAGAGCCTGGAGCCTCCTTCAGATTCTGTGTCTCCTTCTCTCTCTGCACCCACCCCTCCACTCTCTGTCTCTGTCTTTCTCTCTCTCAAAAATAAATAAACACTTTTAAAAAAGAAAAAAAAAAGAGCACTTTCCGTGCCCTATCTCCCTTGATCCTCTCAGTGACTGTGGGAAGTGTGTAGTATGATCAGTCACATTTTATAGGAAAGAAAAATCAGGCCCATGGGACACACCGCTGATTGAAGATTCCGTGGCTAGAAACAAGAAAAGGCACCTCCTCTTTGTTAGCATTGATGTGTTTACACAAGCATGTACAAGGGCAAAAAGATTTAGGGAAGCCCATTGTCAGAAATGAAGGCCTTCTATAGACAGCAAATTTGCAAAACAAAACAAGCCCCCTGGGCTCCCGCAACTTACGATAGACTTGCAGGTTGTAACGCCTGGTGGTTGTGACCGTCGTTTCAGCCATCTTCAGATTTACGTCAGCCCTGTAGATGCCCGAATCTTCCACCCCCAGATTACTGATCTCCAGGTCGTAGTTCTGGAGGGAGACATTTATTCGGTCATTGTAATGTTGGTGGGTCACAGTGACTTTGGGTGCTGTTCCTGGGTCTCCTGGCGTGACGAAAGCAACAGACGTCTCAGAATTCCAAGCGATGTTGATAACTTGCTGCGGTTGTTGGATGTTTAGGGGGAAAGTGACCGACTCCCCCAGGATCCCAGTCACCGGCCGGATGTCTGCGTCACTCCCAGCTGCTTCCAGACCTGGGGACATACAGAGAAAACCATAGCCATCTGACTGTACCTTCGGGAATTCCCTATCTCCCCAGACTTGAGCCTCCCTGAGGATCTGCCCCAGATACAGCTCATCCAGCTTCTGGAAGTTTTTCTTCCTTTTTTTTTTTTTAAATTTTTTTTTTAGATATTCTACTCTGCATATAACGTTACGATGGCTAAATTGGCTAAAGGGTTCTCATTCAAAAACTAAGTTTCCAGTGAGTTTCAAGGGATGTATTTCATCAGAAACGTTTGTCTAGACTTACAGACCCACATCTCTAAGAGATTTGAGGGATGACGACCATAAACCTCCAGAAGGTTCGAGAATTAAATGTCTTTCTTTCCCCAGATCATATTGCCAAGGACGGAAGGGGTGACACAAGAGCCTGGCTGCTGTGGTCTCTGCAAAAAGAAAGTTACATTTATGCCTTTATTCTGGGAAGATACTGGCAGAGAGGGCTTTAGAGGCTCTGGAGTAAATATTCCCCAGGTTGGTGATAGGGGGAGGTCTTTTTTGTTCACTTCTAAATCTCCAGTCTCTGGAAGAGTCCATGACATGTAGTGGGTGCTTAGAAAATATTCGTGGAATGAATTAATAAATGGAATTCACCTCTGTGTTGCCTGGAATCTCTGGGAACCACTTCTGAAGTAAGCAAAATTCATTTATTCATTCATACATTTGTGAACGAATGCATGCATTTATTCAAAGTCAGCTTTATTCTAGATACTACAGCAGGTATTCATTAATTACATTTACAATACCCATGTTTGCTGACCATAATGTAAGGAGCTGGGGGATACAGTGGCGAGTAAAAATTGATAGAGTTCCTGTTCTTTTTTACAGTTAAAGGAAGAGATCAGTGTTGATCAGAGACCCACAGATGCTCAGATACAAAATATTTAGTGGGCTCTCGAACAATACAGATTTGAGCTGTGAGGCTCCGCCTATACATCCATTCTTTCCATAAATGCAGTCCAGTCCTGTCGATGTATTTTCTCTTCGTTATGATTTTCCTTGTTGTCTTTTTATTTTAGAGAAAGAGATCATGAGCTGGGGAGAGAGGCAGAGGGAGGGAGGGAGAGAGAATCGGGACTCGATCCCACGACCCTGGGATCATGACTTGAGCCGGAATCAAGAGTTGGACGCTCAACCAGTGGGGCTGCCCAGGCGCCCCAACCTTGAAATTCGTAATATGATTTGAACAAGGGCGCGGATGTCTCCATGTTGCACTGGGTTGTGCACTTGGGGCCAGATATCCCATGGCCTTTTTAAAGTCAAGCCCTCGCACCCAAGTGCTCGTCTGGTCTGTAGATTCCAGTTACATGTGAGAACAGGATGTGGTTTCTCTCTTCCAACCCCAGGAGCGTGGAGGCAGTTTGTGAAGACGAGCCAGGGCTAGAGTTCATGGTAATTGTGCCACCACAGAGTGGAGGGTGTGTGATGCTGTTTTTCAAACACGATTTCGCCCCCAGAGCAAGTTGCTCCGGAAGTGATGCCGGTGTATCATATGGTGATGAGGCAGGCGCACGGGTAGGTAGGTGGAGCTGGTGAGGATCCCAGGCTCGCTAAGGAAAGGCCCAGGGCTCACACACGCACCCGACGCGGCCTCTGCCACCTTCAGACCCTCCAGCTGTGGTCTCAGAGAGGTGGCCACCGCGCACCGCATGGAGTGGAAAGATAAGGAGGCTGAAGATGTAGGCGCTGGCACTGCAGCTTATCAGCCGGACAACCTTCACAAAGTCACAGAACCTTTCTGGGTCTCGGTTGCTTCATCCGTAGAATGGAAATAATAACCCTAGAACCTGTGCTACCTAATTAGCGATCAGCAAACCAGATCACAGACACACAGATACACATAACTCTCCTTTGAAAAATGAGGTAGTAAATGGTAAATTCAAGTGAATGTAGAGACAGTAATTACAGTAGGAATCTAAAGAAGGGAGAGATCACTGAGCTACAGAGGTTAGGGAAAACCTTTTAGAGAAAGCAGAATTTGAGGAGGACCTTGAAAGAGGGAATAGAATTTTACTGCATAAAAAGGGGAAGGGTGGGTGTCTCAGGTCTTTGGGCCCTGAATAAAAGTTCTGAAGCAGAAAAACATGCGTGTGGGTTGCATGAATATGGATTTGCATAACGGGGTAGAAAGAGATAAGGTGGAGATATATATCTGGTTTAGATATGAGGCAGCTTATACCACAGAGGGGAACTATTAAAGTTTTTGAGAATGAAGATTAAAATGATATTTTTGCGTCCTAGGACTACGGTAATGATGTGTAGGAAGAATAAGAGGAAAGAGAAGCTGGGCTTGAGAGACCGTCTTGGAGGCCATGGTAGCCATCTGCACATGAACCTGAGAGTGAAAATGCGAACGGAAAGGAAGTGCGGAATTTGAGAGATAACGCAAAGAAAGGCAAGGAATAAGGAGGAATCTGAGAGAATTCAACCGCTCAACAATATGTTCGTGGGCATCTACTTTGTGTCAGTGAAAACTGATAGATACTGGAACGCTAAGTTTATGCTGGAAAAAAGTCCAAAGGAGAAAACAGATTTAGTGTCAGAAGTGTTGAATTTGAGATGATGGTGGACCATCTCAGCAAGTAGTTGGAAGGATGGAAGGTAAGGAAGGAGAATGGGCTCAAAGTATTGCCTGGGGACTATGGCAGAATCTGCCTGTCATTTCCAATATGTGTTCTCTCCCTCATTCTTAGCAAGAGAATGCCTAATTTTTAGCAGGGGATATGGTCACTCAGGATAAAGGTTACATTGCCCGGTGCTCTGCTAGCTAACTTTGGTCATATGACTAAGTTCAGGTCAAGGGGATGAGAGTGGAAGTGTCGTATACGACTTCTGTGTCTTTAAGAAGAGGGCGTTTTGCTCTCTCCATCTCTTCCTTGCTTCTTGCAGGCTGGGATGTTATGACAGCCGGATCTTAGACACGCATTCTGTATCAAGAAGAGGAAGCCAAGTGCTGAGGACAGTGGATCAGGAAGGCTGAAAAAGTATCCCTCACAACTTTGTCAACGATTCAGTCAATGGAACTGCCAGCTCCAGACTTTTTCAGATGAGCAAGAAATAAACTTCTTTCTTTAAGCCGCCCTTCTTTTTGAGAACTGTCACTTGCCATTAAACTGAAATCTATGTGGTTTGGGAATCATCCGCAAAGAGGAAGGGATGGAAGGAGAGGTGAGCCACTCAGGAAGAGTAAGGCTGAAGTCCAAGGTTGCTTTGTGAACAGTGCTCACAGCCATAGAGGAGGCACTACCAAAAAAACCTAAATAGACCAAGTGGCAAGAGAGGCACCAATACTGGACAGTATCATGGAACCCGAGAGGAGAAAGAGTCTCAAGAACAGATGTTTAGTGATTCCGAGTGTTCAAGTGGAATAAAGACTGAAAATAGACCTTGGCTTTGTCCATTAGCAGGTTGTTGATGGCCTTTAAGAATGTAGTGCAAGTAAGATGATTCAACTGGAGGCCAGAGTCTAGAGGACTGAGAATAGAATAAGTGGTAAAAAGAGGAAAATCCTGATCATGAAAGAAAGGGGATAAAATAGAATGGTAGCTACAGAATTAGGTAAAACTAATTTATTTGATTTTGTCTTAAAATAGAAGAGGTGTCTACATATATATGGTCAATTAATTTTGGACAAAGAAACCAAGGACATATAATAGAGACAGGACAATCTCCTCAATAAATGATGCTGGGAAAACTGAACAGCCACACACAAAAGAATGAAACTGGACCACTATTTTATACCATAAAGATGAACTCAAAATGGATCGAAGTCTTGGATGTAAGACCTGAAACCATAAAACCTAGAAGGAAACATACGTGGCAAGTTCCTTGAAATCAGCCTGAGTGATGTATTTGTGAATGCGACACCAAAGGCAAAGGAAACAAAAGGAAAAATAAACAAATGGAACTACCTGGAATTAAAAAGCTGCTGCACAGTGAAGGAAACCATCATCAAAACACAAAGGAAACCCACCAATGCAAGAAGATATTTACAAATCATATATCTCCTAGGGGGTTAATATCTAGTATATATAAAGAACTCCTACAACTCAACAATGAAAAAAACAAACAACCTGACTGAAAAATGGTCGGAGAATCTGAATAGAGACTTTTCCAAAGAAGACATAGATGGCCATAGGTACGTGAAAAGATGTTCAACATCACCAATCATCAGGGAAGAGCAAATCAAAACCACATCTATTAGAATGGCTATTATCAAAAAGACAAGAAATAACACGTGCTGAAGAAGAAGAGGAGAGAAGGGAACCCTCATACACTGTTGGTGGGAATGTAAACTGGTGTAGCCTTTATAGAAAACAGTATGGGGATTCCTCAAGAAATTAAGAATGGGAACTGCCATACGGTCCAGCTATTCCACTCCTGGGTATTTAGCTGAAGAATAAGAAAGCGCTGATTCAAACAAGATATATGCACCCCTCTGTTCATTGCAGCATTACTTACAATAGCCAAGATAGGGAAATAATCTAATTGTCCATCAATGGATATGAATGGTGATGGGTTACTACCCAGCCATAAACAAGAATGAAATCTTGCCGTCTGCAATGGATGGACCTTGAGGGTATTATGCTAAGTGAAGTAAGTCAGAGAAAGACCAATACCGTACGGCTGCACTCGTATATTAAATCTAAAAAAAAAAAAAAAAAAACACAACGAAACAAATACTACAAAAACAAACTCATTGATATAGAGAACAGATTGATGGTTCCCATAAAGGGTTGGAGGGTGGGCAAAATGGGTGAAGGTCAACGACACGGTGATGGACAGTAACTAGAGTTCTGGTGGTGATACTTTGTAGTGTATACGGATGTCAAATCATAGTGTTGTACCCTTGGAACTTATATAATGCTATATACCAATTTTATCTAAAAAAAAAAAAAAAAAAGACAGAAGAGAAGAGATTAGTTGGGGTAGGTGTTAGAGAAGAAGATGACAAAGAGTCCTCACATAAAGA